GAAAAAACTTCATCACTGAGGAAAGTTACTATTTACTCATTTAAATGATTAAATTTTGAGTAGTAATATTTTAATGAATGAAAATTGAAAAGTGAACAATTATTTCAATTTTACAGAGAGCAGGAAAAATATTATTATTTTACATTAATATCAAATATTTAATATTTTTTATTGAAAGTTGTAAATTTCATTTTTGATTATATTTGATTGTAAGCATGCTGCAAAAAATATATAATAATTCTTATTCTCATTTATGCATTATTATTATAATTTATTTAATTACCAAATTTTTATTTAAAACATTAAATTTTAAACTATTTACAATTGAAACTGATTTATTTTTGAATTTTTTTTTTTTATCAGCTGTAGTCCACTTAACAATTTATACATCTTTCCTTCACAGAAATTGGAATTTTGTTTTGTGTCTACGGCCTACGCTCTAATCAAATTAAAAAATATCACTAGAAAAAAAGAAACAAGTTGATGAATTAAAAAAATCCATTATAGGAAATATAAATTTGTATCCATTTGTTTGAAAGAATACGAAAAGAAAACAATCTGGCCAAAATCCACAAGGGTGATTTAGCGGGCATGAATAATTCAATGCTCCGTGACGCGTTAAAAGAGCCACGCACCAGATTTATGCACACGAAAAGTCGCGAGCGAGATTAATGTTAGCGACAGCGATGAATTTTAACATGCGGACCGCAGAGATGAATCAAACAAAAGATCTGGCCAGTGGCTCATCAGCCAGCGTAAAAAACGACGAGTTTGCCGGACTGCGCCAAAGACTGAGCCAAGGAGGATCTGTCGCCGCGACGGCCTCGGGGGCTGCGCCACTCCTGTGCCGCTAATGCAATTTCTGCCGCCTCTAATTGCCAATTTATGGTGTCGCTTGATCTCAATTAAGCGAATCGCCTCGTGCATAATTGACGACGATTGGGCGCGCCCAGAACTGAGACCAAAGCCGAAAAGAGGGAAAACCTTTTTAACGGCCAGAGGGATCGAGGAGGAGAAGAAGAAATAAATGATGGGGGTCCTTCTTGTAATCCGGCCATACTTTTATGCTACGTGAAGGTTTTATTAGAAAAAGGGCCGAGCGACTAAAATATAAATATTACCAGCAGGGAAATACTGCATCTGCTCCTTGGTCATATTTTCACCGCCGGGGCACTTTTATATTTAAGAATTTCCACACGCCGCTGCAGCCGCCGGACAAATTGCTACGACGTTCGCCAAGAAAGACTTCTTTCTGCGCGTGCAGATTTATGATTCTCGGGTCGCACATACCGCGGTGACCAATGCCGTGCGCAAAGGTAGTAAAATAAATTCGGCGTTGAAAATTTTCCATAGCTTCTTCCAACAAAGCCTTTCTTCAATACTGAATCGATTTACAGCTCCAAGTTTGAATGAAAAACATTTCTATGATCAATACGGCTGTTATTGAAAGAGCAATTGACCTCAAGTATTTTCAATGGAAATTAATTAATTGTAATGGGCACCTCTTTGAAATTGAAATGACTCAAAGGGAAAGAAAGAGCACGTTGGTGAAGCAGGGTAAAGTGCCACTTGATATGGGAACTAATTCAGTTATTTGACTTATAAAACAAACAAGAAACACTGCTTGTGGAAAAGGAAGTGAATTGAGAAGTAAAATTTATTGTTTATATAATCATTATTCACACACGTTAAATGAGAGATAACTTTTAATAACTAGGATACAATTATAAAAAGAAAATAATAGTTTTTGCGTTTTTCGCAAATAATACGGCAAACAACCAAATTTTATTAATCGACTAATATTTTAAACCTAAAGTTAAATTCACTTTTGATCATTATGTGATAATGTATATTGCATGAGAATTTTGAAATTCAACAGTTCGCGTCTCTTCTTTCATCCTCTGGGTTCGGAATGCAAATGACCCGTAAAAAGAGAGCGCGGTCGAGTTCCAACCCCCCAGTGAGTGGGGTGTCTTTTGTTTCAGACCGAGCAAGGGTGGCGCACTCACCACTCGAAATACCTCATCGCACTGCCGCCTTTTGGCAGATTCGCTCACTCGGTGTTTGCCCGCCCGCCCAATTTCGCCGACAGCGCAGCAGCACCCTTGTTTTGCGCACGCACTCGGAAAATCTGTCTCGTGAATAGTTTGCCACATGCACGCACGGCGGAAGTGCTTCCAGTCAAAGAGCCGCCGGTCTCTGGGCACACAATTATTCCGATTGGAATTCCAACAAGCAAATCATGGCTCCGTGGTATTCGTCATGAAGGAGATTTTGGACATGAAGAAAACAAAATGTGTAGAATGCAATATTTTTTTAATAGCTTCCTTGATAATATTCACTTCAATCTTCTTATTCTTGGTCCTCTTTCAACATTTAAGTTTTTTCTTTAATTTTCAAATTGTAAGATACCTTAAAAAAAAATCATTTATAAGTAAAAATTTATGTGGGAATTTTGTTTATCTAAAATAGATTATACTATAAAGTTTTCCTCTAAATCAGAATAGAGTGCTTGTTTCGATTTTCCTAATTTCCATATTAAATGGAAGTGTTAAATTTTTAATTAAAATATTATAGCAATGGGACTTTCTTGTCTTGAAACATTGCTTTATTGTAAAAAAACAACTTCCATAGTTTTGGTTGTAACTCTGCAACAATTATAAAAAATTTTAAAACTAATAGTGCCCAAAAATTGACCTTTTTTCTGATACAAAAATTTGAGAAAAAAATAGTATGTAAGCTGTATCAAATTTTTCATAATATCAAGTAATCATCAATTAATGTCATTAAATAATTTTCTATGCATCAACTACAAAACTTCGATGGCATGACAGGTATCGACAATTTCAAGCATTGAAATTATCCGTAATTAGCGGTAATTAGATCCAAAGCCTTCCAACATGCAAATGGCAATTTGATTAACTGTGGTGCTGCAGCGTGGGCGCTCCTCTGGCCATATTTGTCACAGGCGTCTCATTCAACTTGCCTCCAAACGCACACACGTACTGTGCGTTTGCAAATAAGATTATGTGGCATATATGCCGATATGCATATGGCGAACAATCTAATTCCCTTGGAGATTAACGCAAAATCCTGTTGTGCGGCGGTCTATCAATAAGTCGGCAGTAAAGTTCCGTGCAAACATGAAATGCCACACGTCCATGCATGATGATTGATTAATTCGACGGATTTAGCTTGTTAGTAATTAAATGATGAGTTTTAAATTGACTTTTGCAGTCCGTTACGCACTTAATGAATTGAAATCTAATATCAATAATTTTTTCCACGACTTAAATTTCATAATTTTCGTTGCAAATATTTAAATGCTAGTTAAATTGATACACATTTAACTCTTGAAATCTCTGCAAATTCAATTTTCCAAGTTAACTCAAACAACTGCTAAGCTTTCCACGAAGTTACATCAGATAGTGAGGAAACAGGAAGTTGGCTGCATCAAGTCGGATGAAGTAGGTTCCGAGGGGTTGCAAATTATCCCTCAGCCGAGGGCGTTTTATTGTATTATTTGCTGCCTATGCGTATATACGTGCTACGTACACAATAATTCGAGAGAGGGCTGCCGGTCTAATGGCAAATATCCAAGAGCAAACACGCTGCAACGCATCCCCCGGCTCATTACATCCCCCGTCGTCCGCTCGGTCCTTCCAGCCTCTGGTCATCCAACCTCCATTTCGCGAAATGAACGAGTCGCGCGCGCGTCTCCAAGACAAACGAGCCGGCTCCTAGGTGATAATCTAATTACCTCTCGGTTGTTTTATAGCCTGGCCGGCCCTCCAGACGGCGCGCCGCATCTCCTGAGCTCCTAATTACGCTCACGCCAAAAATGTGATTTACACCAATTAATACACCCTGCTCAGGGAAAGACCGCTCGGCACGTGAGAATTGCGTCTTTTCTTGAGACGTAGCTTGCGGAGCTAAATCGGTTTAGCTTCAAGGGCTCACATGTCTTAATACTTGCGAAATTGTATGTGTGCACCTCTTTTCAAAACCCTGTTCCCAAAACTTTAATTAATCATGTTTCTTACTAAAAAAAAGTTAGAATTTATCTTTAAAATAAAATTTCATTTATTTATTTACAGTTTTTCAAAAATAATGGGCATTATTTTCAAAGCACAATGTATCCAGCAAAATTAAATGAAGAAGAAACTTATATAACCTTGATCATAAATTCCTCACTTACGTTTATGACATCTTAAAAAATCTTAATCTAGACAACACAGACTTAAAAGATAATGGCAAAATTAATTCTCCCACATATAATTTAAATAAAAATTAACTCACTGTGGATGGATAGATTCTCCGTAAGTGGGGTATTTTTATTTGAAACCTACCAGATGAAAAAGTATTTTTAAAGTTTTGCACCCAAGAAAAATAAATTTCAATAATTTGATAGTTCATTGAATAGAAAAAAAATTGCAGACATTGAAATTTTTTTTAAATTTACCTACAGGAAAACAAAATCTTGGTAAGCAGACGATTTTGGAAAAACAAGTGTCAGGATTGATTTTACCATAATCTCTTAAAGTTGTACCGGTCAACAGAGAATAATTATGATTTTCTTATATTTTTAGCTGTTCTTTTTTTTTAGGAAAAACATTTAATTTGACTTTTTTTTTCATATAAAAATCTATTAAAAATATGCTAAAACAAGGTTTGTATTTTCAGTTTTTATTAAAATTTTTTTAAATAATTATAAATCAACACAAAAAAACCATGGGTCTCTGTAAAAAAAATTAAATATTTTTGTTTACCTTGTTTGTTTTCTTTCTTTTTTTTTTTTTTTGTTCGAGAGTGTTTTTTCCTTTTATTGAAACAAAAATTTCAATTTAAATTGCACATAGTTAGAAGTCCATTTTCTTCTGAAACAAATAATTTCACATACAAACAAAATTATAAAAATATTGGGCGAATGCAATTCTTTGAAGTTCATATATAATTTCATATGTATAAAAGGCAGTCGTGGCTAATAATTCGGCTTTTAGGGTTCCTCGGTTCACCTTCGGAGGTGCGAAGGTGCGCGCGTGTCCTGTGGTCGCGGCGGCCAACACGACGGCGGCGTCGCGAGGATCGATGGGTGCGCACCACAGGCCACAGGAGCGGGCACATCCAGTCATCCAGTCGTGCTTCGACCTCGGCTGCTCGCGGATCTGCTGCCGCTCGGCCAAGGAAGCTCATCGCGAAGAAGACGAAAGCGAGCGCGCCATACCTCCCGCACCAATGGCCGCCACGTTGCCACTGCTGCTGCTACTCGTGGCCGCTGCCTCGGCCGCCATTCACGGTAAGTGATCTTTATCATTTCTACCTTAAAATTTTACTGGATAAATACTAAATTTGGTAATGTTATAGTACGCGCGACGTGTTTTTTCATAAGTTGGCAACACTTGTGCTCCCATGTAAAAGTATCACGTCGCGCGTTCGATAGTGGTTTTACGTCGCGCATACAATAATGGTTTTACGTCGCGCGTTCACTACTGGTGGCGGTGAAATTGTTAAGAGGAAACCGATTATTTCATCGATACCTCGGCAACATGTATAGCACGCGCGACGCAATTCGTTTCCTACAATCTTAATTAAGGGGACTGCTAGGAAGAATAGGGGCCCTTGGGATGGGTTCAGAATGGGGCAAGACGACCTCCGGAGGGCCGTGTGCACCCTTATAGCACGCGCGACGGGCCGTAAATCCAGTGAGGGGCAAAGCGAACTCCGGAGGGCACTTTTCACCATCGTAAGAGACGCGACGCATGGTTATAGTACGCGCGACGCATGCTTATAGTACGCGCGACGCATGCTTATAGGAGGCGCGACGCACGACTAATTAATTATTATAAAAGGTGTTGCACGCGGCCGGAGTTGTGGGCACCCCACGAACCGGCAACTCGGAGGTGGGCAACCCCCAAGATTAATTTTTGCAGAAGCCGCGAGCGAGGGGTGGAGGCGCAGCGAGGTCGAGGACGTGGGGAAGGCCGTGCGGAGGGCGAGGACAAAAGGGCGGCTGTGTTCGTGGGGGGGCTCCGCAGGAGCCCCCCCACGATCCCCGCCCGTTTGTCCCGCCCGGAGCCGGCCTTCACCACGTTCTCGGGCGAGCGCGCCTCCAGCCCGAAGCTCGCAAACCCACAACGGAGTTGCTTACAAAAGGAATCGTCTGCAAAAAGGGCTTAGAAAGCAAAAAGTGTGGTGCCCACAACTCCCTTTGCAGACAACACCTTTTGTGGGCAACTCCGTTGTGGGTTTGCGAGCTTCGGGCTGGAGGCGCGCTCGCCCGAGAACGTGGTGAAGGCCGGCTCCGGGCGGGACAAACGGGCGGGGATCGTGGGGGGGCTCCTGCGGAGCCCCCCCACGAACACAGCCGCCCTTTTGTCCTCGCCCTCCGCACGGCCTTCCCCACGTCCTCGACCTCGCTGCGCCTCCACCCCTCGCTCGCGGCTTCTGCAAAAATTAATCTTGGGGGTTGCCCACCTCCGAGTTGCCGGTTCGTGGGGTGCCCACAACTCCGGCCGCGTGCAACACCTTTTATAATAATTAATTAGTCGTGCGTCGCGCCTCCTATAAGCATGCGTCGCGCGTACTATAAGCATGCGTCGCGCGTACTATAAGCATGCGTCGCGCGTACTATAAGCATGCGTCGCGCGTACTATAAGCATGCGTCGCGCGTACTATAACCATGCGTCGCGCGTACTATAACCATGCGTCGCGTCTCTTACGATGGTGAAAAGTGCCCTCCGGAGTTCGCTTTGCCCCTCACTGGATTTACGGCCCGTCGCGCGTGCTATAAGGGTGCGCACGGCCCTCCGGAGGTCGTCTTGCCCCATTCTGAACCCATCCCAAGGGCCCCTATTCTTCCTAGCAGTCCCCTTAATTAAGATTGTAGGAAAAGAATTGCGTCGCGCGTGCTATACATGTTGCCGAGGTATCGATGGAATAATCGGTTTCCTATTAACAATTTCACCGCCACCAGTATTGAGCGCGCGACGTAAAACCATTATTGTATGCGCGACGTAAAACCACTATTAAACGCGCGACGTAATGCAAGTGATGCCAACTGAAATCAGGGATTTTGGGAAACACGTCGCGCGTACTATAACATTACCCTAAATTTACTTCACATTATGCTCTAAGCTATGGTCTTATAATTTTCATTGTAAGATAATTATTATTTGCAAATTATCAGTGCTGTTGACGTTTTTCTTGTTTTTTTTTGTCGTTCTTAAAATACATTCAATCTTGATTAACTGAAAAATACTAAAATAATTATCTCCATTCACAATTCTTGCAACGTAGTAATAAAAAATTGAAGCAATGCAAGTAAAAATAATATATTTTCAAATTTTTAATTTTGACATCTTCTATATAATAAAACTTTATTTTCTATAAAATATTGACCACAAAAGCCTCTTTTTATTATGATAATATATCAAAGTTCGATTGAAAAGGAAGGGAATGCAAATGACGCGATTTACTAATCTAATAATATTTAATTTTGAAATTTATAAGTCATTTCATTATAATTCCAAGATTTTAAGCATAATTTAAAACCTGCTGTTATAAACAATAATTAAAAGTCAACTGATCACAAAAAGAGGGGAAATTTACAGCTTGCTGGTACTATAAAGACCTAAGATTTCTTGTATCTAAATGAGAGGAAAAGGAATTAATTTAAAAGTTTGAAAAAAATAATATATACAGTACAGACTTTTAGAGCACAATTAGCTAGTGCCATCAGATCGAACGTTCCCTTTTGTGACTATTTATTTCTATTTCTTCAAAGAGGTTACGCCCTGTTTTAATTTCAATTAAATGCACCTTGAGGGTTAATTTTCAAGTAAAAGCTATGTTCAACTTGAGCCCAATTTTTTCAAAATATTACTTAAAACTATTTAAATATTTTCTTTTTAACTCGTTTCAAAGTGTACTGTTAATAATTAAACTAGGTAAGAGCATTTTTTTTTAAATCTACATTCAAATAAGAGAAATATCATTCAATATTATTGCTTATTGTTTTTCAAATAATATGATAAAAAGAAATGCAAATCCACCCACGTGCAATTTGCATCTACAAGATGGAAATGCTGCAGAATGCAGTTTAATTTGTCCTGACGTGTCACGGCAACGCCTGCCAGAGAGTCTAAGTTGTCGGTTCGGAGTGCGCTCACCTGCGATAATAAGTAAATTTGATGCAAACAACACAATCCAATATGCCATTCGCAAATTGGAATTTGCATACTAATTGATAATTGTGGGCGGCGCTGGCTGTTGGCGCCGTGTTCAGAGGCAGCGCACGACTTCATTTGCATGGAACACAAATTGAAATGCCCCCGCTTATGTACAATTATTTCTCGTTTCGCCAAACGCGAGAGAATGATCCGCGATTACGGCAGACTCGCGTGTGGCCGGTCTGCGCGCTTAATCGTGAATGCGTCTCTGGAGCAACGAAACAAGCGAATGTTGGAAAAATTGAATAATTTTGCTGCATCGGAAAATTGATTGACCAGATACAGGAGTGAATGAATATTTATTAATTAAAATCTGGCTGAAGTATACTCAAAATTTGCTGCCAAGTGAACAAATATTTCATTTTTGGATCAGTTAACGAGCAAAGAGAAATTTAAGTTATTGTGATGTGACAGTGTCCTGCATAAAGTAATAACATGAGTTCATTTTTAAATCTAAAATCATCACCAGCAAATATAAAATCCCGTGGAAACTTTTTACCGCCCAAAAAGGAAGGAAATGAAGGAATGATTTATTTATGGCAATATTGCGTAGTGCGTTTGCTTCCCATGAACAGAGGAAACGCAATTTAAAACAGAGGAACTGCAAAAATAAAAAAATAAGCGTCAATTGCATTATGTGTTATTTATTTGTAGTATTTTTTAAAATCTGAATAGGGAGGAAATGATTTTTTTTTCTCCTTTTTTTTGTGAAAATGAAAAAAATGCACACCATGGACGAAATGGAGCATCCGGTTGAAACCTCGTTAATGCACGTTTTACGCGACAACACAAAATTTTTCCAGTCTGCAAAGTCTAGTTGAAAACTTATGCCGCCATGCAAAACAATCCTCGCATAAAAGTTCCCGTCTCGGCATAAGAGCAATAAAATGCACAGGAAGGACGGCGGCGTGCGGTGCAGAGAAAACAGTGAGATCGCTGGACGAAGGAACAGCTCTGGCAAAATTGGCTGCCGTGCACTGCGGCAAAGTGGCTGTGCCGCTTTCGAATCATTTGCGCGACACGGAACGAAATAACAAGAGGCATTAATCTGTGCACGGCTAGGGAAAAATGGCGATGCAGTTGGGAACTGCCGGTTGCATATCCCGAATAATTTGCATATGCAAAGACGCTCGCTGCAGAAGATGTCGCATAATTGAATCGGCAAACAGCTCTCCTAGACATTAGTGACGATCGCATTATGCTTGTGTGATTTCGCCCCACAAAATCAGACATGTGTGAATCCTATGGGGTTATATTTAATTTAGTATTACAATAATTTTTATTTATATGTATGTGCTAAACGCGCTTAGAGAGAGAGAATAGGTTTATAAGCATGAACAGGCAGGGAGAATTGTATACCTGAGTGCGAGGGAGTCGCGCGAACACATGTATTGCCACCCCTGACCTAAATAAAAATACACGCATAGATTTTAAGGCGCTCATTGGTCTAGACTTATAATGTAAGGAGGGGTTTATTTTTCGTCAAACTGATTCTAGCCCGAAATTAAAAAGAGAAAATCAGACTTCACCTTCCGCTGGTCGAGTGCAGGACCTTTGACTCAAATTAGCAGACTCAAAAGTTTAGTGGCTAATCTTTTGACGAAAAATACTCCAACCCACAAGGCATTCATCCAAGCCGCGCTCTGAGCAAGGAGTAACAGGTTCGAGTTATTTTGTGCTAATTTGTGCCCATTTACTGTTGTACCAACGGCTTGTTTTAATTTTATTTAATTTGGAAAAAGTTCATTCTCTCTAGAGTATAAGTAAACAGTTAATAGAAGAAAATTAGACTGTCGATCCAAAGCAGTCCACAAGCCTTTACGTATTAAGGTTAAAAATCTCTCTCTCGTTTATTACGATTTTAAGGACCCTTGGTTTATTTTATTTTATTTTATTTTGGTTTATAATATTTCATACTGTATGTTTATGTACGAAAACAGTTATATTCATAAACAGTAAACAATATACAAAAGAATAGAAACCATAAAACTTTTATCAGTATTTTTGTAACGCTTTTTATTGAACAATTAAAATATTACTTTCTTCTTATTAAAATTTATATTATATT